AAGAGAAGTAGATCATATATCTTTTACAACTGTAGCTGTTTTCCTAACCAAGCAAGAGCAGTTACAAAAGATAAAATAGATAACTTTAATTAATTGAAACTGAAAAGCTTCTGTACATACAATCTAGGTAGAATAAGATGGAAAGTGATCAAATAGGGAAAGAGAATCTTTGTATCAGATTTCTTTGATAACGGTTTGATACCCAAGCTCCGTAAACAATAAATATATATAAAACTAATGGATATGAGCAAACAGTTGTCAAACCACACAGTATTCACTACTTGAAAAAATGCTTTATGGAAATCACTAATAATAAGAGAGATGCAAATCAAAACAGCCTCAAGGTTAACTCCACACCCTGGGCTCAAGTTCCCCTTCTTTGCAAATACTAGCTGTGAGAGTATCCCGAATATCCTGGGCCCTCTTCTTTCTCTTTATTTTTTTTCTTGATGACCTCATCAGCCCTAACAGATTCAGTTCTCAATATACAGGTGACTCCCAAATGTATATCTTCCTCATAAGCTCAGTCCCAAATCATCAACTACCTATTGTTCTCCCTCACTAATTTTCCCCATTGTATTTTTGTATAGCAATCAATCATTGAATTTATTAAGTGCCTGTTATATACTAAGCATTGTTCCAGGTGCTGGCAATACAAAGATAAAAGCCATAGTCCTTGTCCTCAAGATGCTTACAATCTGTCATGGAAGCCACATGTACACATATAAGTAAATATGAACTATATACAAAATAAATTTTTACAGGAAGGTCACTAACATCTGGGATCAGGAAAGACCTTATATCGATAAGCTGGGCTTTGAAAGGGAGGCAGAAGTGTGAAGTAGGAATACATTTTAGGCATGGGAGACAGTATCTTCAAAGGCATGGAAATGGAAAATAGAATGTTCAGTATGAGGAATACTTTTGACATCAGTTATACTATGATGTTTTCCCTGGAATTTTTTCCACCCTTCTTGCTTTTTCATATGATGTTGCATTTTGCCAGCACCCATCATTAAATCTAGATGATTAGGAAAAGCCAACCTTTTAATTCTGTTTTGTACTACTACTTTCTCAAAGACCAAGCCTTAAACCCAGTTCACTCTGGATCTCTTGGATTGGACAATAGGCCCCAGGCATCATTTAATGGTTATTTTTTGGCCCACCTGTAAATAGTAACTGTTTCTCTTTTGGTCAGCAACCCTGAGGGTCTTCTTCTCCCAGTTTGATTTTATTATTATTATTACTATTATCATCATCATTATTATTATTTTTAAAAGGACCATTCCTCCACTTAACTTCTTAAAGAAGCCTATTCACTGACTGGGCGTTGCCTCACTTAGAGTGAGAACTGAAAACACCTTAGCTTAAAAGGGTCCAGGTCTCCCACTTCATCCTGGGCCATCTCCAGTCTTCCTGATAGACATCTGGGCACTGGACCCAGATGGCTCTGGAGTAGAAAGTAAGGATGGTGACTTTGCACAGCCCTCCCTCACTCAAATCAAAGTCATTTACAAGTCATATCATCATCTCTCTGATGTCGTGGTCCTCTTTAAGATGAAGGACAAAACCATACAACAACTATGTAGTTTCTTGATTAAGGAAAATCAGTTGTATTATGATTTAAGAACTGCAGTTTCAGAACTTAGCACATTTAGCAATAATGTAAGGTGTTTTTGCTTCTAATTAGATCCTGTTCGATTTGCAGAGTGTGTTTCTAAGGCTGTTTCCTTAGAATTTTAAGTTTTTGTCTTTCGAAGAGCACCTATTCTTGATATAAAGATGATGAACATTATAAGGAATTATTTCTTAAGGCTTTATCTTAGACTTGTTACATTGATTTAACATTTCACTTAAATGCTCACCCAAGAATGCATCAAACTTTATATCTACTTCAGACATTTAGGAAATCAGAAAAAAAAATTTTCAACTATTACATGCAGCAAGTATTTATTGAGCCACCTGCTGGCTGGGAGTATGACTAGAAAAAATCTGAAGGACAAATCTGGGAGAGAAGACTCTGAGATGAAAATTTAAATAATAAAAGATGTGTCACATTGGGGGTATTTAAGTGCCAAATGAGTGCCACAGATCTTAAGGGATTTTGGCTCAGAGGAAGACAGATTATTATGAGCTGAAGTGATCAAGAAAGGATTCACAGAGGGGATGACATTTGGGCAAGTCTTTGAAGAATGAATAGATGGAAAGGAGCAGAAAAATGATGTGAACAAAAGCCACCACTATTTCCTCCTTTTTATTAAGTAGAGAATGTGAATGATATGTTTGGGAAATGATGAGAAGACTGGCCTGGCTAGAACAGACAGTCCTTCTATAGGGCATAGTTCTCCAGTGAACCATAATCAGTTAAGTATGACCATTATGTAATTACACTGATTTGTTAACAAATATAACTGGATGTTGTGGAAGGAATGTTTGCTCATGTTGGAATAGATGGAAATAATGTGGCTCCCTGTGGAGAATGGGAAAAGGTATTGCCAGTACCATAATACATAAAACATAATACATAAATGATTACCAAGATGAGAGATTTTTAAATTTTAAAATGTGGATGCTTTTTTCTGATGCAGACTCAGAAATCTAATTTAGATTGGAGCAAGAAGCCTTCCCCTATCCCCCCTCTTAAAGAAGATTTGTGGAAGTATCATGAGCTATACCTTCTTCCTTCTTTCCTATGTATTTCTCTATTTCAGGATTAAATTAGGAATTATTTTAGTCCAAAGTTTTTGGTCCACTTGTTTAAAAAAACTCTTACTTATCTTTCTGTAACTGTCCATTCCAAAACGGCGCTTATACTCTTTTCCCCTTACCAAAAGCCTAACTACTTTCTCTGAGGTACAAAGTTTAAGGAGAAACTATTCTCCTTAAGCGTACTAGGGCAAGGGGCCCTTGATTGATCCAATAAAGAGCAATATCCTCTTTTCCCTTGCCCTGACTTTCAAATGTCAATGGATGTGTGATTAAAGGGAAAATTAAGGCAATTTATGAGAGAGGGATCATTGTAAATAATCTGAAAATGCTCACTCTTTAATATTCAAAGATATAAAAAAAATTAAAACGTGAAGTTTTACTTTTTAGCGATCAAATTAGAAAAAAACAAAATGCCAGTGTAATGCCAACAGTACTTTTAGATGCTGGTAGCATTTGCAAGTTGATGTAGTGTTTTTGAATAGTAATCTGGCAGTATATAACAGCAGTTTAAAACTATTCATATTCTTTTGCCTAGTAATCTTGTTAGGAATATACTACAAGCATATAATTAAAGAGAAAACTCTGGTTGTGTGTGTGTGTGTGTGTGTGTGTGTGTACACACACACATATGTAAGAGTTTTATTTTTAATAGTAAAAAAACTAGAAATAATCTACATGTCTAACAGTTGGGTAGTAACTGAACAAATTGTAATAGAACAATAAAATATTGTAGGACCATTCGAAGTGGGATTGTAGGACCATTCAAAAACGGGGGATATAAAGAAATATAGGAGGACATACAAAGTAATGTCAAGTTAATGGAGCAGAACTGGAAGAGCAATATACAGGTTGGCTAAAGTTAGGTAAAAATAACTGTGCTTATACATGTATGTACCAATGTGAGTAAACAAAGAGCAGTAACAGACAGATTAATTTTCATTTGGGTTTATATTTTATAGTAAATAGTTTGAATATTTATTCCTGTTCATTTTTTGCTGGGTTGATTAGTAAAAGGTAAGGAAAGGGGTTGTATGTGGTGGTAAAGAATTAACAAGAATGTGGACTGTAGGATGCATATAACTCAGTTATGCTTATGTTAAGAGTGTTTGCAAATTAAACTTTTAATAATTATAATTTGAAAAATCTATGTAGGTAGCATTAAAAAAATTGTAGTTTTAGGGAGGGAAATTCTGCTTCAGATATCTCTGGTAAGGATCTCATATTCAAAATATAAAGAGAAGTAACACAAATATATGCAGTGAAAAAATGGTTAAAGGATATGAACAAATAATTCTTAAGAAAATAATTGGAAACCATTAACAGCCATGTTAAGGGTTGCTCCATAATACTAATAATGAGAGAAACACAACTCAAAACAATTCTGTGGCTCATATCCCTCAAATTGGCAAATACAAAAATAATTCTGTTTAAAAAGTCTGTGGGACATCTGACACATTAATACATTGTTATGGATTTATGAATTGGACAAGCCATTCTAGAAAGCAGTTTGGAATTATGCCCCCCAAACTACTTAAAATGTCCATATCTTTTGTCCCAGAAATCTCACTGCTAATTATTTACCACAAGGAGATGAGAGATAAAGAAAGAAGCCCTTATATGCACTATAATATTCAGATACTTTTTGTGGTAGCAGAGAACTAGAAAGTTGACCATATCAATTGGGGAATAAGTAAACAAATTATAGGGTACAAATGTAATGGAATATTACTGTACCATCAGAAATCATGATATGAAGGATTCTGAGAAGCATCAGAAGAGTTATGTGAATGGATACAATGAAACAAGCATAACTAGGAAAACAAGACAACATAAACAATAACTACAGCAGTGGAAATAGAAAGAATGAAGAAAAACAAAACAAAACCCAAGCCTAGTGGGCAGTTCATAGAAATGAGCCATAGAGGTGGGGAAGGGGGTCTAGATGTGTGACATTGCATCTGTTGTCAGATGTGACTAATATTTTGTTTGATCTTCCTTAACTTTTGTATTTAAAAAAAAATCTTTGTTTCAAGGGATGCACATATTAAAAAGGAAGAACAATGTAGGGAAATAAAAGTGATATAAAAACCAAAGATATTAATAAAAATACAATTAAAATCATTATTTGAGAAGTTACACTTGAATACTTAAATACCATGTATGATATTCAGACACTTCTGTTGTCATGCATGTAAAATGAGAAAATAAATTTCTTAATCTAAAATGAAATTTTACGACCTTACATCAGAATTTAACTATTTAATGCTAATTGTTTTTTCTTTCTTTTGCAGCACCAGTTATTAACAGATACTGTAGAAGAGTATCAGGTATGTGTGTTCCTCTCCCCACATCCTCATTTAAGTACTGTTTTCTTTTAACTTGCACTTCATATTATTTACTTTAATATTTTGTTGTACAATTTGCTGAGTTTTTCATCTGACAGTGTTACAGACAATATAAATGAATATATTTTTGCATTTTACTTTTTATTTTCACAATCTGAAAATAGCCTAGATTTGCTATTTATTTCACCAGGCTTCATTTTCAAGGGAGTTAATTTTTACTTGTGATGGAAGTGTGCAGTCAGAGAAATTTACCAGCTTTCTTTTTAAATTGCCATATAATGTTCGTTTTTCAGGTTGCTAGTGTTTTCTCTAAAAACACAAAGTCTGATCTGCTTTAAGGCTTTAATCTCTGCTTCCCTGTAGATGTACTAATGACTAAGTTCCAGGTAATAAGAACATTATGTGGACAAAATATTAGACTTAGTTGGAAAGGCGGGATCATTTTCTCAAGAACAAGCAAGAAGAAGATTTCCCTGATGATGTTTAGCTGTTTTTTATGTGTTAATGATTTCTGGTCTTTAAGGAATAAACAGGTTATGATGAGAACACCACTGGATTTGAAGTCAGGATACCTGGGCTCTGCCACTTAACTAGCTCTGTCATTTCAGACGAGTCATTAATCTTCTCAGATTCAGTTTCTTTACTTGTAAATGGGACAATAATACTTAACTCAGGATTTTTGTGAAGAAAGCACTTAGGAAATCTTAAAATACCATATAAACTTGAACTGCTTTTTACTAAAGTAGGCTATTTAGTGACAGATCATGCAAATTTATTCTTCCAACATTGAATGTTAGAGTAGCCTTAGCTGCTGTTATGATAATCTAATGTTGATATTTGCTCCCATTTTGACTTAATTATTATTGTATTTGCATTGGCTTTCACAGTTTGTAAAGTACTTTCATATACATTGTTTCATTTGATCCTCTACCAACACTGTAAAGGTAGGTAGTATACTTGGTATTATTCACAGTTTACAGATAAGGTAGCTGAAGCTTGATTAGTATTGCTTGTGAATGGTGGAAGTAGGACTAGAATCCTCAAGTCCATTTTTCTTTCTAGTATCAAACTCTTAAGTTTATATTATGTACCAGGGATACAAAGGCAGAAATGCAATAGTTCCTGACTTTTAGAAGCTTACACTCTAGTCAGGGAAACAACATAGACATATGTAGGTATGTACAAAGTAGATATGAGATAAATTTGCGGGGAGGCACTAGCAGCTAAGGCTTAAGAAAGTAGAAATTCTAAGAGAGAGGGGTACAGAGGGAATGCATTTCATATTTGGAGGGATAGTCATTGCAAAGGTTTAGAGAAAGGAGAGGAGAGAGTAAGTGAAGTGTCATATGTGGACCAGTAAGACCAGTTTGCCTAGACAGAATCAGGAGTAATGAGTAGTGTATGTAAAGGGGAGGTCGTGGGTAATAAGGCTAGAAAGGTAGGATGGGATCTGATGTAAAGAGCTTTAAATGCTTAAAAGAGGAGATTATATTTGATTCTAGAGTTAATAGGGAGCCCCTGGAATGAGTAGGGAGGTAACCTTGTCAGACCTGCATTTTAGGAAAATGCTTTGGCAAGTTGGAGGCATCCTTTGGAGGGTGGATTAAGAATGGAGAGAGATTTAAGATAGTGAAACCAATTATACTTTTGCAGTAGTCCAGGTAAGAGATGATGAGGCCCTGAACTAGGGAGGTGATTGCGTAAGTGGAAACAGATGGAAGAGCAGTTATGGAGGTTTAAACAAGACATATCATCTCATTGGATATGTGTGGTGAATGAGAATGTCATGGATGGGACTGAGGTATCAAACCTAGTTAACTAGAAGGATAATGATGCAGAAATAGGGAAGTTTGTATGAGGAGTTGGCTTAGGGGAAAAGATAAGTTGTTTTGGTCATGTTGAGTTTGAGATGCCTAAAGGATAATGCTATGTGGGTTTGGTGCTGAGAGGAGAGACTTTTTCTGGATATGTAGATATTAGAGTTATTAGCATAAAGATAATTAAATCTATAGGAGCTGATAAGGTCACCAAGAGAGAGAGCAGAGAGAAGGAGCCAGGACAGAGTCTTGGGTATACATCCATAATTAGGGGTCATGACAAAAGAGACTGAGAAGTGGTCAGACGGGAAGGGGAAGAACTGAGAACAACCAGTGTCACGTAAACCTAGAGGGGAAAGAATTCAGGAAGAGGTGTTGTTCAGCAATGTCGTATGCTGCAGGGAGGTCAAGAAGGATGAAGACAAAGGTCATGAGACTTTGTAAGTGAGAGATCATTTGTAATTTTAGAGAAAGCAGCTTCAATTGAGCCATGAGTTATGAAGCCAGACTGTAGAAGATTAGAAGGAGAACAGTGTTTATAGGAGGTTGACTGAGAAAAGTAGGAAAGGGTCTACAAACCGTAGGCCAATGAGCTTGACATGTAGATTCAGACATGTAGAGAAGTAACGTGTACACAGACAGCATAAAGGAATGATTAGGCAAAGGAGAAGGACACAAAGAGGACAGATACTTGAAGAAGATCTGAGAAGCAAGAAAACAGTCAGCCAAGAAATATTTATTACTTACTGTGTGTCAGGCACTGTGCTCTGTGCTGTATATGCAGGTTAAGAATTCCTGCTTTAGGGAGCCAAGATGGTGGAGTAAGAAGTAAGTTGCTCTCACCCTCTCTCATTGACCTCTGAAAGCTCAGAAAATATTGACCCAGGAAAAACTGTGAGCCACCAAAAAAAAAGGGCACAACAGTCTTGTAGTCTAGGAAGCTTGGGAGATTAACAGGAAAGTCCCCTCTCACTCTAGGGGAAGTTGAGCAGTATAGGACTGAAGGCACCCCAGCAAGCCAGCAGCAAACCCCACCTCAGCATATCAGGGGGAGGTCCTGAGACCCAGGTTGGTGGAGCAGGCAAGTGACAATGCCTGGACCCCCTGAGAGCCTCAATACAGGCAGGGGAACCGGTAGATACCAGCTCTGAAAACTAGCCCAGGCAGTGGTGTTCTCCAGCAGCGAAATCACCCGGTGCCTCAACACAGCTCTGGGAAGCACAACTCCAGAAGGCAAAGCTCCAGGTTTACAGACATTCGCCAGCAGCAAAACATCCCTGTGCGAGGCCTGAGTGAGCAGGAGCCAAACATTCAAGTGCAAGGCCCCAGTTAGCAGGAAAAGAAGCTTGGGTAAGTGTCTCCTTTGCTCCAGCAGGAGAACTCAACATTTCTTTTTTAAAAAGTCAGGAAATAGTTAAGCACCATGGACAAAAAGCAGAAATGGAAAATGACCATAGATTCTTATTTTGGGGAAAGGGGAAGATCAACACACAATTCAGAAGAGGACAACATTGTCAATATACCCACATCTGGAATCTCAGACGGGAATATGAACTGGTCTCAAGCCAAAAAAGCCTTCTTGGAATAGCTCAAGAAGGATTTTAAAAGTCAAAGAAGAGGGGGTAGAAGAAAAATCAGGAAAAGAAATGAGAGGTATGCGAGAGAGAGAGAGAGAGAGAGAGAGTCAATAGTATGGAAAAGGAAGGACAAAAATTAGCTGTAGAAAATTGTAGGGAAAAAAAAGGCCTTAAAAAGTAGACTTGGCCAAATGGAAAAGGAGGCACAATAACTCACTGACGAGAACTCCTTAAAAAGTAAAATGGGCCAAATGGAAAAGGAGGTACAAAATCTGATAGAAGAAAAAAACTCATTAAAAATTAGAATGGAGCAAGTGGAAGCTAATGACTCCCTGAGAGAGCAAGAATCAGTCAAACAGAAACAAAAGAATGAAAAAATAGAAGAAAAGGTAAAATACCTCATTGGTAAAACAACTGGCCTGAAAAATAGATCTAGGAGAGACAATCTAAAAATTACTGGTCTAGGGGCAGCCAGGTGGCATAGTGGATAGAGCTCTGGGCTTGGGGTCAGGAGGACCTGAGTTCAAATGTGACCTTAGACACTTGGCACTTACTAGCTGTGTGACCCTGGGCAAGTCACTTAATCCTGATTGCCTCAGCAAAAAAATAATAATTATTATTATTATTGTTCTACCTAAAAACCATGATGAAAAATAGAGCCTGAGCAACATCCTTCAAGAAATCATCAAAGAAAACTGCCCTGAAGTCCCAGAACCAGAAAGTAAGTTAGTCATTGAAAGAATCCACTGATCACCTCATGGAAGAGATCCCCAATTGAAAATGCCAAGGAATCTTGTAGCCAATTCCAAAATTACCAGATCAAAGAGAAAATATTGCAAGCAGCTAGAAGGAAACAATTTAAATATCGTAGAACCACAGTCAGGATTACGCAGAACCTTGCAGCTTCTACATTAAAAGATCAGAAGGCATGAAATACAATATTCCATAAGGCAAAAGAGCTTGGATTACAACCAAGAATCAGCTACCCAGTGAAAGTGAGCATAATCTTTCAGAGGAGGAGATGGATATTTAACGAAATAGGGGACTTCCAAACCGTCCTGTGAAAAGACCAGAGCTCAACAGAAAATTTGATCTTCAAATACAAGATTCGAGAGAGGCATAAAAAGAAATGATGAGCAGGCAGACTTCGAAAAAACCTGGAAAGACCTACATGAACTGATGCAGAGTGAAATGAACAGAACCAGGAGAACATTGTACACAGTAACAGCCACATTGTGGAATGACTGACTTTGATAGACTTGGCTCTTCACAGCAATGCAAGAATCTAAGACAACTCCAAAAGACTCAAGATGGAAATTGCTGTCCACATCCAGAGAAAGAATTATGGAGTCTAAATGCAATGGAAGTATACTATTTGTTCTCCTTTTCTTTTGTTATTTTGTTTTATTGCTTCATTCTTGTGGTTCCTCCCATTAGTTCTAATTGTTCTTTACATCATGACTAATGTGAAAATATGTTTAATATGAATGTATAAATAGAGCCTATATCAGATTGCATGCTGTCTCAGTGGGGGGAGGAGTGGGAGGAGGAGAAAATTTAAAACTCAAAATCTTATGGAGGTGAATAT